GTAATCATCTACTATAACGAATAATTCGTTAACGCTATAACGAATTATTCGTTATACATTCCGCATAATTCGTTATATCGTTAACGAAGATTCTTATAATGAAGTCCTGATCGGCTGGATCGGCAACTTCGTTATATCGAGGTGTGACTGTACATAGTTACAACTAGTTGCAACGCTATCTTTAATTATAACTTATTTTGCTATATTATTTTATATTTACATTTTTAATAAAAAAATTGGCTATATAATTAGGAGATCCTAATGCTATACTTAATAATTAAGAATTTGTTTTATTTTTACATTTGTAAATATGTATAAATATTTTACTATAATTTTTGTTTTTATTTTTAATAAATCAATAGTCATAATTTTTAATAATAATTAATTAATTTCTTTTAATTATCATTTTATAATTCATTAATTACTACCTGGTAATTAATTTTACTTGTAATTAATTATTGATCTTAATAAATTTTATATTATTGATTATAAATAAAAAATTATGAAATAAATGAATATAAAAAAAAAGGATAAATTTGTTATTAAAATACTTGTTATTTAATAGTTCAATTGGGATCTAGAAAAATAATCTATACCTAATCAGGGCTGAAAATAGATGATAAAATTCCAGCAGAATCCGGCAAATTTTAAGATAACTTTCTGTATGTCCGGCAAATTTCATGGAATCTGGAAAAAAATTCCGGTAAAAATTTTTTGAAAAATATTAATGATATTGATTTTATAAATTAGGTAAAATTTTAATTTTATTTAATTATTAGCAACTCATTTTACCAAAACTTTTTTTTAAATTGCATCAAAATTTATTTACAAAATCATTTATATACAGTATTTTAATCGGGATATTGTTAATGATCAACATATCGATTTATATTTGTCGTTTGAATTATGTTGTAATACATTCTTTCTTTGTCAATAATTCGAGATGTCAAATCAGAAAAGAGGAGTATATGAAGAAGGAACGGTAGTTATTAATCCTGATAGAATCATTAATAGATCTTTAATTATAAAATTTTAACAGTTATTTCTACCTTATAAAGCAAGACACAAGTTTCCGTCGAACATGGGATAAAGAAGAATTTAAACGTAGGGCTCGTGAAAGATCGCGAATAGAACGTGAAAAAGAGGAGGAAGAAGATCGTAAACGTAAAGGTTTAAAACCCAAGAATATTGATAGTTCTGAAGCTGAACCTGCACGAGAGCTATTAAGAGCTCGTACGGAGAAAGTTGTTTTAGATGCGAACTTGAATAAAGTTCAGGTAGTGCAATCTACAAATATCGCTTCAAAACAACCTGGTTTTTACTGTAAAATATGTGATTGTGTTGTTAAAGACAGCGTAAATTTTCTTGATCATATCAATGGCAAAAAACGCAAGTATATATATATATATGTTTGTGTGAACGAATTTACTTGTAAATTGATAAGTAAGAAATTAATTTTATTTTTTTAATTACACTATTAGATCAACGAGCTCTTGGTATGTCTATGAAAGTTGAAAGAAGCACATTAGATCAAGTCAAGAATAGATTAGAAAATTTGAAAAAGAAGCAAGAACCACAAGAATACGGTTACGAATTATTATAATTATATCTCTTTTGTTTGTAAAACGTAATTGATCTTAATTGAATATTATTGATTCGATCCTTATTAATACAGATCTCGACGCACGAGTTGAACAATTACAAAAACAAGAGGAAGAAGAAAAGAGGCGAAGGAAAGAACGTAAAAAAGCCAAGAAAAGAGGTGAATCAAGTCAAAATACTGTCAAGGAGGAAGATAGTCCGGAAAATGAAGTCAATCCCGAGATGGCAAAGTTTATGGGGTATCATCAGTTGTTTTATTTCGTTTATAAAAAATTGAGGTTTTTTTCCGCTATTTCGGTGTTAATTAAATTTGTTCTATTACAGATTTGTTGGTTTTGGCTCTACAAAATCTTGAAGGTCTTACTACGCACTATTAACAGACAAGGTTTGTTCATTAATTCTACATAGATATTTTTATATTAATCCTTAAATTAATTTCTTAATAATTGACCTTTGTATTTGCATAAAATAAATAAAATATTTCTAATATATTCATTAAAATATGAAAACGTTGCTCGATTCAAATTCTTTTTTAGGAAATTTTATTAAAACAAATAGAAACTACGTAAGTAATATGAGTTTGATGTATATTAATATTAACTTTTATTATTTAGAGTCTTTAAAATCATGGACGTATTTACAATTACATTCACAAATGGGTTAAATTATGATAATTAGTAACAGGTTAATTGATGAAACAATACGTCCATGATATCTTATTAATATAGTTTAGAAAGGTAAGTTAAATAAAATAGTATAAGTCTAAATTTCATTACCTATAATAAATATTATCAAAATAAAGTGATCGGAAATGAGACGTATCTTTATTGGCTGAAATTTTATCAATAAATTCTTGAATATTTTTCATTGGAGAAATATTGTGCTTACAAGTTAAACTAGTAACAAGTATAACCTCTTTAAAATTCTTAGCAAGGAACAATGCCCATTTTACCGACTACCTCACCACGTTCTTCATTTCACTCTGATAGTCAACATAAAAGAAGACGATCAACTTATTGGTCGGCTTCCATCCCTTTGTTTTTACGACGTTTATTTAGATTTCCACAAATGGTATTTACGAGTATTTTTACGCTTTGATTATAACGATTTTGCTTTATGGTTTGTTGAACTGTAATATGCTCATTGTGATATACATAGGATTTTGAATTTGCATTATGGCAAATGCTTTATTTATGTATAGCTCCAAGAAGAGTGTAAGCATAGTATTTCTTAGATCTTTATGCTGTTTTGCTAATCACACGTTAACATTTGATTTATTCTAATAGATATCGAAATATTTATTATCATAAACGTAAGAACGTTAAAATTATTCAAGAATCCGATTTGATCTATTTTATTAAAATATTTGATTTTAAATTATTAGAAACTAAAAATCAATGGGCAAGGGATGACCCAGCTTTTGTTGTGATATTATCATTTTTCTTGGGGGGTATATAATTTACTTATTTTTTTTCAATTATACTTATATAATTAGATATTATTCTCATATTATTTGTTTATTTAGTATCAGCGATTGCATGGGGATTAGTATATGGACATGGGCTGATAGGGATTCTTAAAATGAGTTTATTTATGGTATTTGTAGATTTTGTAGTAGTTGGGATGATAATCTCTACAATTTGTTGGTATGTTAAATAACTTAACAATATTTTTTATGTATTTCTTTTTTTTTCTTTTTTTTTCTTTTTTTTTTTTTAAAAAAAAATATATATATATTTATATAGAATCTAATAATATATTTCTTTACGATTAAGGGTATTTGCGAATAGATTTTTAACACATAGACATACAATTCATGCAGTTGAGCAAACAGTAGAATGGGCCTATGCATTTGATGTACATTGTAATTCATTTTTTCCTTTATTCCTAATATTATACGTAGCTCAATTTTTTTTAATGAGAGTTTTGATAAAAGATATTTGGATTTGCTTATTTCTTGGAAATACGATGTATTTAATTGCAATAGGGTATTATTGTTATATTACTTTCTTAGGTTATAATGGTAAGTTATTTTTTTAAAAACACTTGTCATCTTTTAATATATATAAGAAAACGTTAACTTGTTTTATTTAATGTATAGCATTACCATTCCTTTTACATACTGAAATGTTTTTATATCCAGTTGCTTTATTCTTAATTGTCTATGTTATCTCATTATTTGGTTTTCATATTAGTGCTAATGTATTACAATTATATTTCGGTAGGTGATCATACCTCCAAAACTTTTTCTTTTCCTTTTGTATAAAGTAATTTAGTAGAGATGAGAAAGATCGAGTTTAGTATTTTTGATTTAATTAATTTTATAAAAAAAAAATTTACGTTAATAGAATTCTTAATAGTATATATTTAGTTTGAATAATTAATATATTAATTTATTAAAAAAAAAGTTAGAAATTTTTATTAAAAAACATTAGTGTTATATTTCTTTTAAAATATGTAAATATTTTTTAATAAATCAAAATACTAAATTATTTATTTAAAGGAACATTTAATAATGCTTTGATAAATAAAGTAAATTTAATTGAGTATATTTATCAGGTCTAGAATTTTCTAAGTAATATTACCATTTAATAATAATAATAATAATAATAATAAAACGCTTGTTTAAGTAGTCTATTATTATTTGTAATAATTAGTAGTAATAAATTTTTGATAAAAATTTATGGTTTTAATCTTTTGGTAAACCACATATTTCACAACTACTAATACTACTTTGATTAACAAAGGTACAATGTCTACAAGCCCATATTGATGAGCTTCTACTGCCACCAATTCCTATATCTGATTCTTGTCTACCAAGATTTCTTCCATTCGGAATTGGTGAATGATCTAACAACAAAAGAGAGATGATTTACTCAATTTCACACATATAAAAGCAAAGCTTAGATTAAAAGAAATGCTTACCATTTTCTCTCATAATAGCAACCAATGTTTGCCAACCTGAACTCTGAGCCAATTGGTTTGCATCCTTTTCCTCATGAGAAGTTGCTAACCTTGCTAACGCTGAGAATTCATCCTATATATGATATAATCGTAGTAAATAAAAGGCATTTATATCTTTTAGCGTCAATAAAAAACTCACCTCATCTAATGTTTGAGTTCCTTTAACAAAAGTTAACAGTTGGAAATCTGATACGGAATTAACGTGCACATTGCCGCTATCTTTAAGCCCAAGATGACGAAATAATGTCGTATAATCCTGGGCTGGGAAACTTCCATGTCGATTTGCAATAGGAAATTGATCTTCTGAGGTAAAAAGCGGTGTAGGATTGGACGGGAAACCATCTGTAACCTGAATAGAAACATTATATTTAAATTTATATAAAAATAATCGTAACAGATAAACTTAATTGAACTTACTTTGACTAACAAATAATCTACGGGAAAACATGGCTTCGCGCTTTCTTGTACATTAACACCATATTCATTTTTATATTTATAAAATACTTCAGAAACATATCTTTCTGAAGTGCTTTCTTTAACTCTCATTATGCCTGGTTCCACACTTGCTTCAATTATATCAGCAGAAACCATAGATGCACATGTATTTGATACTTGATATGCATTGACATAAATACCTCCATCTTCATTGCCACTTACAACGCAGGTTATGAACCTGCTACCAAACTTTCCTGAAGCACTCCATTTTGTGAATAATGGATTCTTATTCTGCATGGCTGCAGTGAAACAACATTCTTGAGAAGAAAGAAAATATGAATCGATATGTCGTTTATAAATTACCTTGCCTTGACCTGTACCGTCGTCAGTAAGATCAGTATATATCATTCCAACCTATCATTTCCAAATAAACTGTTATTATTGGAAGGAAATGCAAGACAAACATGCATTATTTTCAAGTATACCTTAACTAGACCACAAGCAGCTGCTACTTCATCTACCAATTGTTCATCGTTCCAAGGAAGAGTGAGGGTCAAGCCGTCTACTTCATCCACTTGAGGTGGTTCGTAGATTGCTTCAACAACTGCTTTGACTCCTAAGGGAACTTCAGGATGAGGTTCGTATCGACCATACAAATAACCGAACCGTTGCAAACCAGTGTTTCGCCAAAAACGAATAAAATTCTCGACCAATGTTGGCACAGAAAATTCTACGTGATCTACCATGCGATATTGCTAAAGCAACGAACATGTTATGTTAGAAGGGATTAATAAATTATAGTTGTAATACAAAATTTAGCTCTTACCTGAAGTGCTAGAGTAACAGCACTTGGTTGACATTTTGTACATATGCCTTCTGGCCATGGCGCATGTCCACCTAAACAATGCGCTTTCACCTGAAAATCTTGTTCTTCTAACGGAGGAATAAATTTGCCATTCGATTGCTTATTAGATTTGTTGACACTTTTCAAATAAGCATGAAACGATATATGTTTAATTCCTTTTTCGGCAAGGTAACTTTTGTCGTAAGGCTAATTACAAAGAAAGGTATTGTCAATAAAAATTTACTACGCATAAATTATAACATAATAGACATATTACCTCCAAAGGCATACAATAATCACACATGCCATTTGCAGCGTGTTTACAGCTATAAAGTTAGTAAATTATAATAAACATCAGTTAACGTATACTTTGACGCGTTATATAATTTTTTCACAACATACAATTTCGGATCTTTATTTCGTTTAATCAACCCATCTTGTTTATCTAATAAATCATCAACTGGATCTTGTTTCACATTTAATGGAGCTGGTGTTGTTGTCTTCGTTACAACAGACTCTGTTTGCATCGTATTTGATCCATCGGTTTCTGGCGTAGGCTGAACGAACGTGACATATAATAGATCACCATGACTTTAAGCATTGAAATGATTCGTGAGAATTAATACATATATTTGAAATGAAAACAAAAAGATCGAGAATGCTACACTTTACTTAATCCTTAGTTCAGAAATGGTCTTCCCAGTTAATTCAGTTATTGGAACAGTACTTGTTGGATTATCAGAAATCGCAAGTGAGCTATATTCAGTTAGCTTGAGTTGGTTTGCAATCTGTATAAATTTCGATTCAAATCAATAAAGAATTCGATTGAATTTAAAAATAACTATTTATTAAATATATCACCTTTGTACCAAGAGAAATTATGCTTTCGTTTGGATCAACTTCAAGACGAAATGTACCTTCTTTGGAACGTATGCGTACAAGCTATGAATTGAAAAAAAGAGATTGAACAAAATATAAATAATATTTACATTTTAACAACTGTATAACCTACCATGACTACCATGATAAAATTATTCGTTTTGAATCACAATTCAATTTATAAAATACTTATATACATGCAACACATCCATTGCGTCACCACTTACATCAGTCTATCTTACATCATCATAGTAAATCATGAAAAATATTGTATATATCGTAATATATTTATATTAAATTTAATTGAACTAGTTATATTAATACAGCCAACCCATTATACAGTCACTCCAAATATAATCACACCCTCTTTTTAAGCACATGACATTTTGATTCCGATTTTTATTACCCCTTTATAATCACATTTAATATAATCACTATCACATCAATTTTTTTTTAATGATATGGTACTGCAATAAGTTTTATTAAATTTAGTTAAAATTAAACAAATATTAATAAAAATAAGAAATAAAATACATAAACAACAACTATCCCTCATAGCTTTATCTCAAACTCATTTAGATTGACTAATCATCAAAACTTTTCTTTAATAAAATTAAAAGATTCTTATTTAATGATTTAAGAAATTCAAATGATATTTTTAATGCCTGTTAAAAAGTTTAACTAAAAAATCCATATTTTAAAGTTGAGGTAGTTCAGTTTTTTCAAAAATTAGTAACATTAGTAGTATAGTGTAAAATATTGAAAGTTTGATTCTACTATATTTTTTTTTTACATTTTGATAAAAATATCATTAAATCTTTCTTTTTTAATAAATTTCAATATATCTTGAAATTTATACTTGATTATAGAAGATAGAAATAAGAAAATTGGCTAAACAAATTAAGATAAATAGTTGAATTTGAGAAAAAAAGTCTTCTTAAAAAATAAAAAAGTAAATTTAAGATAATTCTTTTTGATAAAAGTATGTACAAATTAATATTTAGTGAAATATTTACAGAATTAAATAAAATTTGTTTAATTTATAAGTAACTCTTGATAAACTTTAGTGTTTCTAATAAGTTAAATCAAATTAAATTTTAAGTCAAAATTATTCTATATACTTTAATGCTTATTTATTATGTGTAATGAAAATAATTATACACAATCATATAAGTCAAATATTTAAGTCATTTTTAGAACTTTAATCTATTCTTTATTTTTTTTCAATTTTAATAAAACATATGAATTAATAAAATTATATAAAGAAGAACTGATTTTGATGATATTCTTTATTTCTTTAAATAAGTTTATAAATAATAATAATCTTCTACTAATTAGATACATAATGTATATAGCTAATTTTTATATATTTAGATAACAAATAGCTAATTTTAAAATTGTAGATAATTTATTAGTAAAGATTTTCATTTTAAATGTTTTTTTATTTTATTAAATAAAAAAAGTAGCAGTTATAATATTATCATTATTAATATAAAAAATCTAAGAGAAATTTTTCAATAAATCTCTGCATTTCTATTAAAATTAATAAATGAGAAATTTTTATTTAATTTCAGAAAAGTGAAAAATTATATAATAGCATTCAAGTTTTTTTAAAATTTTCTTAATAAGGAGTTAATATGAATGCTATTAAAGTTAAAATCTAATTATAATTTTTCAAAGACAGTATAATTAAAAATTAGAGAAAGTTGAGAATTATCAATTTTAATCATATTATTAGTTTATTATTATAAAAATTATCTGAATACCTTTTTAATTTAATCAGTTTGATTATAACCTGTAGATCTCTTATAATATATTATAGCCAAATTCAAACTATATAATTCAGAACTTTCTCTTTAATTTTATTATAAGATTACTATGTAATAAAACTATTGAAACTATTTATTACTTTTAAACTATCTAAAAAATTATTATATTAGATTTAAAATAAATATATATAGTAGTAAGAAAAGCAAATAGTTTTGCTTTAATTAAAAAAGAAGAATTAGTAATTAATGTTGAAAAAGAACATTTAATTTTTATTAAAAAGTTTAGGATAGATTCATTTAAGACTTATTCTACAGTAAGTAAAGTTTAAATCAACTAA